ATATTTAGAGTAGATGCCAGATTTTAAATGCCTAATTTCAAAGTAATATGCTAGTAAAAATAGATGGGTTCATTTATCTTTTGAAAATATAACATACTTAGTGAAATCCAAAGTTATGCTTGACTTATGCCTAGATTTTAGGTCAACTAGTATTTTCTTAAGCTCCTATGATAAGCTAATCTCTGAACTGATACTTTCATATCTAATGTCCTATGTAATACAGTCTAATATAATTAGAGGTTAAAGCATGACCTTTTATATTGGTATAATACTTTAGTTTACATGAGAAAAAAAGGAATGCCTCTAGAATAAATATGGATGCACATGTAGGATATTAACATTGAATCTAAATGTTAATCCTCAATTTCCTTAATTTCATAATTAAAAATAAAAGGTAATGAGGATATGGCCAAGAAGACTAAGAAGTAAAAATCCTTCATTTATTTGGTAATGACAAAAAGGTAACTTCTAGAGATTACATAATGGATTTATATGTTGAATATTAACATCATATCTATGAGTTAGTATCAGTTTCTTAATTTCATAATTGAAAACAAAAGGTAATGGGATGAATGAGAAAAACAAGAAGTTAAACTTCTGTCTCTCAGTTAATGAAATAGGTAGTAACAACACATTGTATTAAAGCAGAGCATGTAAATAATGTGGCAAAATGTTATGTGTGAAAAATACATGTTTTAACATTAGTGGAATGAATACCTTAGTTTTCTGTGAAATATTTTAATATTAATGAGAAATGACAAGTTTGGAGGCTTTGTAAATAATAAACACTTTTAAAACTAGCTCTCAGGCCATGCTTATAAAATACATTTGTCTATATATTTCTATTATTCTAGTCCTATGTCATTATCTCTCATTGGCTGAACTCAGTTGGAAGGTAGAAGCAACGGGGCCCGATGACGCAATCCATAAAGACAGAGCGTGGATAAGAGTGGAAAGTGAATCTGTTGTGGCTAGTGGAGAATATATAGCACATCATATTCTCCAATACCCAATATCTAACAAAAAGGCAGAAAATTGGTTGCTTTAAAAATTGTTATGACAAATACTTTTAGGGAAGAAAATTCTGAATTGAAAACAAACTGCTCTCTTCTCTATTAACCCATTGTCAAATGAGATGAGACTTACCAAAAGGACATGGAAAAGTTAATCTTCCTGCTCATGGGATTGCTGTTAGATTTTGTCTTATAAAACTAGAAAAGTTTATTTTGTTGAAGACTGTGCTCAAGAGTTCTAATATTAATAAGTCAGAAAAATGCATTTTATATATATTCACAGAGATACTTACAAACAATCCTAGAATAAATTGTTTTTCTGAATATTTTAACACTTAAATGTGTAGGCTCATATTAATTGTTTTTTAAAGAGAGAGTGTACTGGTTCAAGGTCACTTCAAATGTGAGAATTGAGAAGAAAGCGTGTTCTTTCCCCCCTGCTATTTATAATAATTGTTCAGTTAAAACAAAACTTTTTCCTTTAAAAACTTTGTTAAAGGATACATATTTCTAATTTACATTTATAAACATCCAAGTTCAATATGATGATGTCCTAATGTTTAGAAGTAATCAAATTTTAGAAAATTATAGAATACATTTGGGTTATGCCAATTACATAGAGTGTGTCTTTGAAATAGCTGAATACAAATTCAATTTAGTCAGAAGCAGGGTTTAACCAGAAAGGATAATATATAATGCTATAGCCGAAACCGGTTTGGCTCAATGGATAGAGCGTGGGCTTGGGGACTGAAGGGTCCCGGGTTCGATTCCGGTCAAGGGCATGTACCTTGGTTGCGGGCATATCCCCAGTAGGGGGTGTGCAAGAGGCAGCTGATCGATGACTCTCTCTCATCGATGTTTCTAACTCTCTATCTCTCTCCCTTCCTCTCTATAAAAAATCAATAAAATATATTAAAAATATATATATATATAATGCTATATTTTCCTTGAGAAGGAATGGGAGATATAGAAAGCTAAGCCAAAATAGATCAGGAAAAGATGTGTGGTATATGCCATTACAATAAAATGTCCTTAAACTTAACATGGCAAAAACTTCAGAAATTGAAAAATATTGATTTGAAGAGTAAAGTATTTTTTTGTTAGAGGCTTACATAAATGGATTAAGATGTGATTACTGTTTCTCAGTCTTCTCAGTCTCAGAGCCATAGTTTCTACCGTGATTTTCAAATTGCAGGCTACAATTCATTTTTAAGTCCTGAAATACATTTAATAAATAATGACTGGTATTTTAAATGAAATAGAATATTCTGCAACAGAAAATGTCAGGACACATTGTTTATAGTAAAGATTAGTGTTTATTTGTGAAACTTTTGTTTTGGTTACATATATGTAAATATGTGATTATCTATCACAATAGATAATATCCAAAAGTTTTTAAAGATTGTCCTATATTATTTACTGAAATCAATAAATGTTAACCCAATCGTGTAGCAAAGCTAATTGTATTGAGAGGCAATATAACACATTTATGTATCTCTCCCTGTACAGTGCTAAAATTTGTTCCTAAATGGATAAAAATACATAGAAATTAGGCTGTACTAATATATTTGATTTTCAACAAATCTAAAGAGATTAATAGTACCAAATGAAATAAAAGTGTTTTGTACTGATGTATTGGGGTTACAACATAGACTGGCACTGCATGTTGTATATCCCTTTTCATTCCTGTCATCATACCTCATGTTTACCTGGGTATGTGGTGGAAGGGAAATACCCTATTAAAAAGTTTTGAATAATATTGAAATGACCTTGGGAACTATAAACAAAGTGGATGAATCTCAGTATGTATATCAGTATTCATTTGTGTAGAGAATTTTCAGCCTAAAATATCTTCATTCATTTGATGTATCTATGAAACATTCAGAGAGTATTTAAAGGGAATAATGTATAAGAAACCAAAAATGAGTCACTTACATTGAGTTACATTCATATTTTAGCTTCTAGTTCTTTTTATTTCAAACAAATATTTAAACAGATCACTTCTGCTTACAATGTTATAGTAATTAAAGAATTACTGTATCCTATTTAGATCCTCCTCTGCTCTTCAAAATTTCATTTTATCTCAGTATTTTTACATTAGCTAATCAATAGAATATCTTTTTCATGTAAACAGTATACATATTTTATATAAATACAGACAAAATTATTTGTATCAGTTAAAAAAAAGATTCAGGTCTTGAAGTCAAAATTGTACAGGGAGAAAACACCTTATTATATTCTATATAAAGCTTTCCATTTCGCAATTGTTTTAAGAGAACACCATTGTAAAATCTAGTGGAATAGTCTTCCTTCTGACTTTGAACATGGATGCATAATTAGTTTTTTGCATTTATCTTACCAACACTTCAGAGGTCAGAGATGCATTCCAATGTGACATATATTTAAATATATCTCACACAGAGGATAAGTTAAATTTGTAAATATATCAAGAATAGATTCTAAATAGGCTGAAACTTGCATTTGTTTGATTCAGGAATATTATATAAATACCATCTTTAGTTTTTTTCTATTGCTATTATTGCTCAAACCAACAGATATTTAAAATTTTGCCAAACAGAAGAGCAATGGGCTCTGAATTGTATTCTCATTTTCAGTTTTCTCTCATTTATGGTGTAGGCTTCATTAACTCTGATTTCAAACACTTTGCCCTGACCTGTCTCAGTTCACATTTTCAGAAAGATAAAGGACTATAGGGTTTCAAACATGCCTTTGTACTATATACAATGATAGGCTTAGAAATAGGTGTTACCAATCATATAAACATTGGAAGTAATCTGCATTTTACTTCAGTATTTTGTATTTTGTGTATTTCTGCATGGTCAAAATGAACTATATTCACCCTTCTCCCCATTATTTTATTGAGAACCAAATCAGTGGGCATATTGTTTTGAGTATGTACAATATGCATATGCTAGAAACTTTGCCCAGGCATTCTAAATAGGTTTAAAAAAAAAAAAAGGAATTGAATAAAAGTTTAATGCATATGACTGTGTTTTACAATTTAGTTTTAATAAAATGCATTATACTGAAACAAAATAATTAGAGTTGTAAGTTTACCTAATAATTGCTACTAATTGCTTTCAAAGGATTAGACCCCTCCACCCCATTTTTAATGGCAATGGAATTATGCCACTCTACCATAGCATGAGTGGTGTTAATGCTAATGATTTTTTATATTTTCCATCTGTAGGTCAAAATGTCATCTTGTTAACAAGAATTCTTTATCAGAGATAGAAATTCATGTTACTAAATCAACAAGATAATTGTTTATTTTCCATTTTTTATACCCCTAACAAATGATGCCAACTGGAATGTTTGTCTTCAATTTCATGGAAAATCAAATGCTATTTGATTCCTAAATATGTGGCCAAATTAATTTTAATCCTTCTCCTTAAATTAACACTTGGTAACCAAATAGAATAGTCATATACAAATAGTTTTAACTGACTAAATTAAAACTCTAATATATTAGTTCATATTACAAGTTTTCTGTTGTCTGTCCGAGTGCTTGCTTATTTTTTCTTATTTGTTCATTTGTTGCTTTCAGTTTTAAATCCCACATATGAGTAAAATCGTATTTTTTTTTTTTTTTACTTTTTCTGACTTATTTTGCTTAGCATGATATTCTCAAGATCCATCCTTGATGTCACAGAAGGAAATTTGACTTTGGGTGGCAAACACTGAAAGCAAAATATAGAGAATGCATCATAGAATTGTACACTTGAAACCTATATAATTCTATTAATCAATGTCACTGCAATAAATTTAATTAAAAATATTGGAAGCAAAAAATACTTGGAGCTTCTAACTTTAAAAATACCTTCATTAATTGTAATCATTGTTATTTTTTTTAAACAGATATATCTTGTAAATAAATAATAATCTTATTTCTGAAGAACTTGTATTTTCTGAAAGTAAGAAAAATATATGTATTTCTATTTAGTCTTCCTTTTTCCCATTCTACAGAGAAATGATGAAGAGGCAGTTGTGGATAGGGGTGGAACACGCTCTATTCTCAAAACACACTTTGAGAAAGAAGATTTAGAAGGTAAGACATTTTTCCCACTTGGGATAGCTATTGTTATCTTTGTTTCAAAGAGAAATGTGAAATATGTTACAGTGTAGAGAACTGCAACAGTCGATATCAGAATAAAGGTGGCAATGGATGTGACTGTTTTGGTGCAGCTGCAATGCCAATAGGCAGACCTGGAAAAGTAAGAGCATTCTTTGGCAGACATCTACTATATTCCAGGCACTGTGTTGTGCTCCAATATTTTAATATTCCTTATTTCAAAGAGATACAATCAACTGAGGAATGAAAGGAAAAAAATGATGTCAGACCAATAAATGTGTTGGTGTGTGAGAGGGGAGAATAGGACAGGAGAGACATTCAACCCAACCTAGTTGCCAGAAGAGGCCGTCACTGGGAGAGTTAGTGACAATATCTCCTCTGATATCTGGGAGAGAGAGTGGTTGGAGGCACCAGTTGTTTGTACAGTGGTGCCTCACACAACGAACTTAATTCGTTCCAGGAGCAAGTTTGTTATGCGAAAAGTTCGTTATGTGATGTATTCTCTTCAATAAGGAAGAAGGTCAAATACTTCAACAGGGAGGTGGTATATTCTTGGTAGTAACTCTGAAACCAAATTATACTGATTTCAAATGTTAGTTCTGCCTTATTTACTACAGAATCTTCAGCCAGTTTACTTCTCTGCACTGTTAAAAAAAGGATAACAATGGAATGTATTTTCTAAAGTTTTCTTTTTTTTTTTAAGAATAAAGAGAAAAATACTTAGAATAGTACCAGACATATGAGTTACAATAAATATTGACAGTTGTCATTACATTGCAGTTTAATATATCCACTATACTACTAGTTCATTTTTATTTTTTAACCCAAAATTATTACTAGCGAGATACAAGATATTTGGTATTTTATATCTATTTCAGAATTGCTATTGAAGACAAACACATTTTATAAAAGCTTCCTTCAATTAAAATTTTATGTATTTGTTTTAATTTTATTTTACTGAAATATAATACTATATAAAAGTCTAATATGCTATGTGTCCAACCATTCATTTGACCATTCAACCAGTCACTATGATGCACACTGAAAACCAGGGGGCAGGTGCTCTGACTGGTAGGTTAGCTTGCTGCTGGTGTCCAGCCAATCGGGACCTGATCATGCACCAGTGGGGTCCCTTGGCCTGGCTACACCCTCTCGCAATTGGGGACTCCTCAGGCATGTCAGAGAGCTGATTTTGGCTTGATCTCCACAGGCCAGGCTTCTACTTGATATATAACTGTGTAAATTTAAGTTGTTTTATACGATGATTTGATATACATAGTTATTGAGAAATGATTAACATAATAAGGCTAGTTAACACATTCATCGCTTTACATAATTATCTTTTTTTGTATGTGGCAAAGATGTAAGATTTACTCTTTTAGCAACATTCAAGTATGTAATAAAGTCTTATTAACTGTAGTCACCATGCTGTATAGTAGATCCCCAGAATATACTCATTTTATAATTAGAAGTTTAAAAAGTACCTTTTGGCTAATCTCTTGCCATTTCTCCCACACCCCCACATGTGGCAACCAATCTTTCAATTAAAATTTTAAATTTGAAAATTACTGTTTCTCAGAACTGTGTATATACTCAGCTAATATAATTACTGGTATAATTTAACATCCTTAGTATACAGCTTGTAGAAATTCTAGATGGTTAAAAATATCTATAAAGTCTCAGGTGAAATATGTTTAATGGAAAATGAATACCTGACCAATATCAACAATTTGGTGTATATTAGAGTATTCATACATATTATACATTCTGATGAATGATTTGTCAAATGTATTATTTTCTCCTTCTAAACCTATTTATTCTTTTTAAAAATATATATTTTATTTAATTTTTACAGAGAGGGAGGGGGGTAGAGAGCTAGAAACGTCGATGAGAGAGAAACATCGACCAGCTGCCTCCTGCATACCCACCACTGGGGATGTGCCTGCAACCAATGTACATGCCCTTGACTGGAATTGAACCTGGGACCCTTCAGTCCACAGACTGATGCTCTATCCATTGAGCCAAACCAGTTTTGGCAAAACCTATTTATTCTTTTGTTTTATATATATCATATCATTTCACTCTTCTCTTATTACATAAAATCAAGAGCATGCAATTTTACTAGATTTTGCTTACTTCCTATTTTTCTACATCATGTAGTCAAAAAATTCTTTGAATCTAACTCAGGGTGTTTCCTCTTATCCCTTTTTGTTCTTACTGCCTTTGCTCCAATTCTTTCCTTTTCTATATACTGAGTGCTATGTCTTTCTCACCATCCTCCCTTGTTAGTATTGCTAGTATTCTTCCTAAGCATACTTTCATTTCTGATAGTAAAATGTAGCTAGCAGCATTGAGTCTCTATATTTAGACCACTTCAGGATCTTGAATAGAGTCAAAATTATTAAGGTTAACCAATTTTCATTTTGGTCTCCCACATTCTTGTTGAACTAGTACTTTTTTTTAATAAGTTTTTATTGTTCATATTATTACAAATGTTCCTTTTCCCCCCCCCCCACCATTGCTCTCCTCCACCAGGTTCCCACCCCACCCTCTGCCCTTTCCCCTCTCCCCATTGTCCTCATCCATAGGTGCACAGTTTATGTTCAGTCTCTTCCCACGCCCCCCTCTCCCCTTTTCCCCAAGAATCGTCAGTTCACTCCCCTTCCATACCTCTGATTCTATTATATTCAATAGTTAATATTGTTCATCAGATTTTTTTAATTTCCTTGGTTTTTAGATTCACTTGTTGATAGTTACATATTTGTTGTTCATAATTTTTATCTTTGTTTACTTTCTCTTCTGAAAGAACTCCCTTCAGCAATTCATACAATTCTGGTTTGACGGTGATGAACTCCTTTAGCTTTTTTTTATTAGTGAAGCTCTTTATCTGGCCTTCGATTCTGAGTGATAGCTTTGCTGGGTAGATTATTTTTGGCTGTAGGTTCTTGCTATTCATCACCTTGAATATTTCTTGCCATTCCCTTCTGGCCTGCATGGTTTCTGTTGAGAAGTCAGCTGACAATCGTATAGGTGCTCCTTTATAGATTACTACCTTCTTTGCTCTTGCTTCTGCTGCGCCCAGGTGAACACCTAGCCGCAGCCGCACACAACAATTTCAATAAAATACAACTAAAATATAAAACGGACATTGCCCAGAACTACAGGAAGGTTGACTGACTGGAAATTCTACAGTGAGAAGCAAGGAGAAAACCAGAAGGAGGTACGGAGGAGCTGGAAAAGCCAAGGTACGGAGACGTGGCTCGCGGAGAGGACTGAGAAGGAGAGGAGGGAGGCCGAGTGCCTGGCGGGCATTCCCTAGCGGAAAGGAGATAAAACTCCGACTGTGCTGGGCCCCTGACCGCTCTGATCCCGTTTTAAGCCAGACCCCGGGGACTCAGGCTCAGCCATAGGGAGCCGGGCTGTAAGGCGGAACCCGGGGAAGTGGCGAAAGGAGGTCCGGCGGTGCGCATACTGCCCACAGAGAAGGGACTGTCTGCTGTGCCGCGGGATTGCCCTGACGGGAAGGAGACTGGGGCTCCAGACTGCTCTGAACGCCACTTCCAACTCCACTTCCAACTGAACTGAACCCCAATACCGGGCTCATTAGGGGAGAGCATAGACTGTTTGGCAGCAGGCGAAAATCGAGGGCACCTTTCTCTCAGAGGCGCCAGCAGCAGCAGCACTGAAGGACCCGCATAGGGCGGGGCTGACGGAAGCCAAAGCTGCAAGCTCCACCCTGAAACCCCGTCTCATCTGTAACTGCGAAATGCGACAACAAAATAGATCACAAACGAAAGAAATGGAGGACAAAAAGCGTCTGGATATAGAGTTCAAATCTACGCTTATAAGGTTTTTCAAGAATTTCCTAGAAAAGATGGATAAGGCCTATGAGGATATGAAAAGAGATCAACTAGAATTAATAAGGAGTCATCGAGAAATGATAAGGGATCAACAAGAAATAAAGAATACATTGTCTGAAATAAAAAATATTTTACAGAGTCCTAAAAACAGAAGGGAAGATCACAAGAATCAAGTCAAAGATTTGGAACATAAAGAGCCAGAAGACACTCCTCCACAGAAGCTAGAAGGCAAGAGAATCCAGAAAATTGAAGATAATATAAGAAACCTCTGGGACAACTTCAAGCGAACCAACATCAGAATTATGGGGGTCCCAGAAGATGAGAGAGAGCAAGATATGGAAAACATACTGAAAGAAATAGTGACAGAAAACTTCCCCCACCTGGTGAAAGAATTAGACTTACAAGTCCAGGAAGCGCACAGAACTCCAAACAAAAGGAATCCAAAGAGGACCACACCGAGACACATCATTATTAAAATTCCAAGAGCAAAAGACAAAGAGAGAATATGAACTAGTACTTTTTAAAGAATAAGATTATGAAAGGAATAAGGCATTAATACCCTTAAAATTCTTTCTTGTACTTACCCTTTAGTACAAGTGCAGTGTATACAGTGACCAGATAAAATACACAATGCTCAGTTAAATTTGAATTTTATTTATTTTTTAAATATATTTTATTGATTTTTTTTTTTTTACAGTTAGGAAGGGAGAGGGAGAGAGAGAGAGTTAGAAACATGGATAAGAGAGAAATATCAATCAGCTGCCTCCTGCACACCCTCTACAGGGGATGTGCCTGCAACCAAGGTATATGTTCTTGACCGGAATCAAACCTGGGACCCTTGAGTCGGCAGGCCGACACTCCATCCACTGAGCCAAACCAATCAGGGCTAAATTTAAATTTTAAATAAACAATAAATAACCCTTTAGTATAGATAGGCCAGGTAATATTTTATTTATATTTTAAAAATTTCTAAGTCTGTCAACCCAGTTGTGGGTTATGATGAATCACCAATGTCCCCTCTTAACACTGAGGCACTTGTTTCCACATTTGCCATGGGTGTTGCCTGCAGTTGGTTCAAACCTAAACCATTCTCCAGATAGTATATTTTGCGTAGGG